CTTGTTCCCAAAACCTCCACAATTCTCAGCCTGATCGCAGCTTCCCAGGCTCACCGTGGAAACCAGACACAATCTCATTTACTTTGACAGATCTTATTCGCCTACAGTGAATAACTGCTAGTCGCTAATCAACATTCATTCATGAAACCTCAAAAGAACGATTGACTTACCGGAAATCCACATTCTTCATTTGAAATTTCACTTCTACAATACCAGTAGTTTTTATCCGTGAAAGCAGAATATCCTGCTCAGTTGGTTTATAGTCTTTGGCTGCTATACGGTCGATAGAACCGAGAAAGCTGAAAGCGAATTATTGCTGCCAATTTTCTCAAGATAGGTGGTACGATGGCATGGGATTTTGACTTACTGTGGAGCACTTTCGACGAGCTGGAACTCATTTCCTCGGTTGACCGCTGCTGTAACTCCCGGGTCTGCCCACAGATTTTTCAGAGCTTGCGTGAGCTCCTGTGTGAACGGCTCTGATTCTTGGGCAGCTTTGATCGTGTCCAGGACCACACGTGCATCGTTCTGAATTTGATGCTTTCGGAGGCGCTGGTGTAAAACCTCTCAAAGAGAAATCAATAAGACGAAGAAATCTTGTTAATAAAATTATTTTCTAAACTAAAACTATGCAAATTATGTAAAGCCCTGACCTCTCTTGCCGGGTTTTCAAAAGTGATCTTCAGGCTGTTCATAGCCCTCAAAATCATTGCCATTGCTTGTACGGTGTTGTTGTAGACAACGCTTTTTTGCTGGACGGCTTCTTCCGGAGAAAATCCATGGTCGTGAAGAATTCTGAACATACCCAACTAATGAGGCCTATTGAAACAAGCAGGTGTCTGACCATTATTCACATTTGAATAGCCAGGAAAACGTCTGTTAAGCGCTCTTACCTCATCTGCTTCAGCACGGTACTCTTTCCACATTCTCCAGCACCTTAAAATAAGCAGCTTAAACGATTAGGAACGTAATGTCAGTTTACTTGCAAACAAAAGAAGCTGCTTGTGCATGCAAGGAGGGAATGACCATATTATGTCCATGTTATCAGAAAGACCGAATAGATGCTGAGCCGCTCAAGAGCCATTTCAAAGAGCGGCTCCATTCAGAAAGTGCTGAGATTGGCTCCTTTATTGGAGAGGCTTAAAGGTGCCGACCTTCACGTCAACTTCCTGGTCGGTTCGCTTCTTTGGCTCAAGAAAATGATGTCAGAGGTGAAATATTGAGGTGAGGATAACGAAATCTTTGACGCAGCATGGAATTCTCCCACAGGCATTCCATCATCAGTGGCGCACAGCGCCGGCTGTGAACTGGAGGTCCCGGTTCGATTCCCGCCTGGTAATCCACCTGCACTGTGACGGGCACTAGCCCAAGCACAAGTCTTGGGAAGAAATACTGATTGAATAAGAGGAAGTAGGGAGAGAAAAAAGGTGTAGATGTGTAACATGATGATGATTGGACTCTAATGCTACATTCAGGGGTGTAAACAAGGTAATTCACTGGAAACCATCGCTATTTTTGGCAAATATCATGAACGAGCTAAACTCAGAAGACATTTATTCGGCTAGCAAGAAGACAGAGACGAAAGAGCCAATATCGAAATTAAAATGGATCAAAACTCGCTCGAATGACAGTCGATTCAAAAAAGCGATTGAGTTTGGTTTTCAAATGCAGGCGGAATTTCGCTCGGCTACAACTGTAGTAACTGACGTTTGTAGTTAGCATTCGATCGCCGCATGTGGAGCCGACTAAAAAAGCTTTGACGCCGCATCAAGCCTATTTGAGGTACCACGCCTTGTAGTTTGATTCGGAATCATAGTTGGCAAGGTGATGCAGTTTGGCTCATAGAATTACTAGCAGAAGCCAACCGACGCACGAATCCGGGTTTCTCCTCTCCCAGACGAGCCTACCAACAACTTGTTCACCCACAAGGGTATAAGGCCTGATTGGCCTGGATGGCGTATGCGAACCAGAATTCGACCCCCGGACGATGCGTGTGATAAGGCCACTTGCCACTACATTACCTCATCCCAATTTGATATCTATATATATTTGCAGGCACCTAGTCCAAAGTGCTTACTATGAGTTCCACGAGATCAACTGATGCTCCTCGATTTATCCTCCTAGGGTAGTCCGATGCAAAGTGATTAACCCTTTGGCGACAGTGGCGCTGGGTGCCACTCTGTGCGCCATAAGGCCACAATCCGGAAGCAACAGTGGTGGGCGCCACTACAACATTTTTTTCTTTGCATTTTGCATATTTTTTAACATATCTAGTAATTTATTAGCGGCGCATTATATTTATAGCTATGCCATGGGTTCAACAGAACTTTTTGATAGGAGCTACTTTTACACGCAATTCCTGTGTGCAACATTTTGCTTGCTACATAACTAACTAGGTTTTGCATAATTATTAGACTAAAGATTAATCACTGGTCAGGACTTCTCCATCTTTGTATAGTCTCAATTACAACGGGGCTTGAATTGTAGTGAAAATTCTATTGTACATATAGACTTTTTGAGTTTTTACCCTCCATCCCTTTGAAATCCGAGTTAGCCTTCCAAACGTTCAATTCGTTTCCCAACAATGTGTAGTATGAAAGCTCAATCTGTAGTTATATTTTGTAAATTGCTAAAGTCAAAATTTTGATAGAAAAACTGCTTTAGGGACAATTTTGCCCAATTTGAGCGAGAGTTGGGCGCGCCAAAAAGAGGCGTGGTCTCACTGGCCCAATACGTGCAAATTCGCACTTTCGTCGGAGTGTTAACCCTGATGCAATATTAAACCTCAGGCTTGTTCGAATATCCAAAGTACAGCATCTCTAGCTATTAGGTACCTCCACGCATAATCATAACCATATCAAGAATAATTAGATCAGTTCTGTTTATAGTAGAACCTGTAAACGCTGGCCGGTTCGAAAGCTCACCTAGCAGAAGGAGCTTGACGACTTTTTGCTGTGCAATGTGGCCCTGCATCATTTCCCGGTCGATTGCTTTGCTTTTTTGTTGAAGCTGCTTGTCCTCGGTGGACTGACACAATCCCATTGTGAATTTCAACCGGCAGATCTTCCTTCTATCAACAACGGCCAAGCATCTGAAAAGATATTCTAAACTATAAGCAAACCAGAGGCAACATCCATCACGCAATAGTAAACAAGGAAAAAGAAGGAAGCACATAGGTTGGGAGTGCTGGCTGGGCGAAGGAAGCAATGAGATCCAAACAATGCGACTACGATACAAACCTCATTCTGGTAAAATACATGCTACATTCCTATAAATATATCGTTATGCATAGCTTATGTGGAATGACGTCGGAATTTCAAAAGTATGGAACGATCATATCTTTTTAGAGCGGTAATGTCATGTTGAATGCCCTTGGTCTTTTAGTATGGGAGAATGGAATGTGACGAAAGGTTTTTTCACAACCAACAATTCGTGTGTGATTTTCTTTTTTGCTTGAGGGAGTAACAGTAAGGTATATAGGTTGTAGGGAAAGCCTTTGCGGTTTTCGACACTTATCGTTTTTCTGGCTTTTTGAAAGAAACTTAACACATGAGGATGCATGATAATCACCATTACACTCCCTGAGTTCGACTCGAAGAAATTACTCAACCCGCGATCTATGTCACCTTCATCTTCGGACGTTTTCCCTTGTATGCATTCGATAGCGAAAGGGAAAGGTGGTATTCTGTTGGATCAGTATCCTGGCTGTACAGTGGGTTGCTTCCCCTTTTCCGCCCAGAGTCGAGTCGCTTCTGTCGGGTCACTGTTTTAGTGCGTGGACAAACGTTGTCGTGCAAGAATAATATCATGCCGCAATTTCCATGCTTCTTTGCGATCTCGGTGGCCATTCTATCCAGCTCCTAATAGCACAAGTCCACCGCGAGAGTAGCGCAGCGCGGCAGTAGCTCGTAATGGATAATGCCTTAGCAGTCTCACCAAAACAGATCATAACCTTCAGAGGGTGAACACCTGCCTTCTGTTGCGGCTCAGGCTGGTCACCCTTGTCAACCCAGCGTCGGCGGGCCTTGATGTTGACCTACAGACAGCACTTCTCATCCTGTGTGACGACGGACTTCAGCCAACCATCCGTGCGCCTGTACGAGAGCCATTCATTAGTCACCTCGGCACGTTGCGGACAATCGTGTTCGGTCAAGCTGTGGGGTACGCACTGTCCCAGGTTGTGCACCTTTCCCAACTGATGCAGGTGACCGGCAGTGATGCTAAAGGATACACCTGAGACTTATGCAACTTCACGCGCAGTTTGCCTTGGGTCTGCCCACACCAGCTTACGCAAACGATCATTGTCGACTTCGAGTTCACGTCCCGATCAAGTGGAACTTTCAATCTTGGAGTCTCCCTCGCGGAAGCGTTCAGACCAACCTTGTGCAGCGCATTCGGATACCCTACGTTCTCCACACGCAGCATCAATGCGACGTCTGGATTAGGCTGCTGATTCGCCAAATATCAACCCGTATAGTAAAAGGTCATGAAAGTACTGTTGTGAAAGTTGCATATTGCAGAAACGTGATAAGCTACAGGTAATAGCTAATAATTATACTGAACTTGCACATATATGTTCTCCTTATATATGCACGAGCCAAGTTGCTGGCAGGCGTTTAGCAGGTTAAAAATAAGATTTTTTGAAAACCGCAAGGACTTTCCCTACAACCATATTTCAAATCGAGCAGCTTATACACCTCGCCTTTACAAAATTGTGCAGTGCAACGATACTTTGTAATGCTTAATTAGGAATGGCGAGAGCCTCGAAAGTTGTGAGGGTGTTCGGCGGGCATCAAACGGTTGCACCAACTAGCCGAGAACTGATCGAACCAAATAAGCGAAGAACTGTTGAGAAGGTCGCCCTCGATTTGGGCTCACCAAAGTTACGGTTTCACTTCGCATGGAGTGTTAAAGAACCCGGTAAAGTCGATAAGGGGGTCTAGGTAAAATCGCGTTTCGGTGGCGTGTGCTCCTCTTCTATGTGCTTTCATTTAGTGAAAACAACTCGTTTTTGTTAAGATCTTGATGTACATGCAAAATGGACTTTTCGCGATAACCTATGAGCCTAAAGAGTTCGTACCACTAAACCCAGCACAACTTCGCAAAGGTGAAACAGCATGAGGACTGTACGCTGTGTTGCTTTTTACGCGATCTGCCTCAGGCGCAGCCATCCGAGCCCTTGTTAAACTATTACAGTACAGTAGCGTTCCTAGCAAGATGTCAGAATATCCCAAAACCAGTGCACAGTTGATATCCCAAAACCTTAACACATGCTCCTAACAAGTAATACTAGAGCTGGGCTGATTCTTC